GGAGGGGAGTCCGAGTGGATGGGGAGCTCTTGGAGGGCTTCTGGAGGTCTGAGGAGCTGGGGGGGCTGCTGGAGGGCTGGGGAGCTGGGAGATTGCTAGAGGACTCTGCAGGCTGTTCAGCGCTCTCCAGACCACTGGGCCAGCTCCAGACCCTGCCTGGCTACCATATCACCCGCCAATGCCAGAGCCTCTCCTGGCTACCAAGGGCATGGGTTTGGCTCTGCCAGCTCAGGGCCACAGGGGAGCATTGGCAGGGGGCTGGCAGCCCCCGCAAGAGCTAACACTCCTCCACAGATGGGCAGGGCACTTGGAGATATCCTGGAGGTGCAGTGGAGTCACCCCACAACCAGTGGCCGTGTTCCTCTCACCAGATGACAACCCCTTGCTCCTGCGCTAGCTCCATTTTCCAGCTTGTTCCCCCTCCACATTTTTGGCTTTTGTGTTCTCCATCCTTCAGAAGCTGTGATCTGGGGCAATGGCAGAGAGAACACGGGTCAGATCCCCTGCTCACAAGAACTACCTGTCTTCGCAAGGGTTTATCCATGACACAGACCTCCAGAGCCATGTCCATGAAAGGCAACCTGTTGTGGGGAAACTAAGGCAGGCTCCAGAGAAGGACCTTGCTGAAGGTCAGAGCTGGGATGGAGCTCTACCAGGCTCAACCCATGCACTCTGACATCTCACAGAGAGATTGAAAATCCATTCAAAATCCCCTGGGATGGCTCCAGGGGAGAGCAAGTTTCGCAGGTCCTGCCTGAACTGAGCTGCCCTAATGGGCAGCCCAGGGCTTGAGGTGTTCTCCGGTGTTTCTAATGCAAAGGAACCTGCTCAGCCTACGAAATGGGTCCCCGCATCTCCCAGCACACAGACCCTGCACCTCTGCAGCTCCCCTGCACCCACGCATGTCCTCCCCATCCCAGACACACCTGCACAAACACGGCAAGACATGTGCAAACAAACATGCTGCCTCACAGGCACACACGGGGACGGTGTCACCGGCACACACACACTGACAGTTTGCCCTGTATTCATCGACATGCATGAAGACACACAGGCCAGCTTGTCTGCACACCCACGAGGGGCTCACATACGCCATGATGGGTGTGCACGCAAGCTCACATGCACACGCATGGTCATGAACACGCAGAGACGTGTTACCTGCACATGTACACACACCGAGCTGCCTGCATGCACAGGTACCTTCACCCGCACCCACCCAGCCCCGCTCACGCCCAGCCATGTGTTGTCACGGGCGGGCGCGTGGCAGGGAGTTCCCGGGAGCCCCGTGTGCCTCCTGTCTCCCAGCACCGCTGTGGGCAAGCCAGGAGGGAATTTCCAGCTGCAAAGCTGCAGCTGACAGATTTAGAGGCTCCCGCCCCAGCGCTCGCTGGGCCAAGTTAAATGGGTCACCAGCACCCTGCTTCCCCTGCCCTTCCCCACTGGCTGCGCAGGGCGGGTGAGGAGCGACCCGCTGGTGGGCATCACCGTGGTGCTCCTCCCCTTGCCTTGCAGCATGGCAGCACCCAGCGCGCAGGGCTGAGAGCCCCAGTAGCCCTTCTGCAAAGGTGTGGATGGGCAAAGCTGTCATGCCCTGCTCTGCTACAGCGTGGAGGTCTGGCATGGGAGCACAAACCTCTCTGCTCAGGCTCTGGCTCTGCTGACACCCCTCGGGGGCTCCTCTGCCCAGTGTGGCACTGCCAGCCAAGCAGTTCCCCTCCGAAGCCACCTAAACTCCCAAGCTGGGGAAGGCTGGAGAAACCAGCTCCTGCGAGTTCCCTGCAGCATGGGAGACCCTCGGAGCTTCTGGAGCAGAGGGATGGCAGCCTGCCCAGCCGGGCAGCCAGGTGGGCTGCTCCTCGCCCCGTGTTTGCCCACGAAAGGCACAGGCTTATCAGGTTACCAAGACACGCCTGGCACCGTGCCGGCCAGGTGAGGCTGCACGTGCCCGACGGCAGGCCAAGCGAATGCCTCGCACGCCACCGAGCCAGCGGTGCCAGCGCCGTGCAGGGCTTCTCCATGCCAGGCCTCGTGGCAGGGACTGCAGCGATGGCGGCGGAAGATGGAGCAAAAAGAAGAGAGGACAGCTTCAGGAAACTCACAGCCCACCATCACGGTGTCGGGGCTGCTAGCCATATGTCCTGGGTAAGGGGTGAGCGGAGGGGACCGCGGACTGCCGTTCATCGCAAATATTCCAGGTCAGGTGATGGCAGGACACAGACTGGTATCTCCAAGCGGTGGTGGCCATGGATGATGGGAGGAGAGCGCCCACCCAGCCTGGGGGCTGCGGAGCAGGGCAGGAGAGTGCTCGCCCTCACCCACACTCATCCGCTGGCTCTATAACAGCAGAGAATAGCAGAGTGCGTGACAAGTGAGCGGGGCTCTGCCATGGGTCCCAGCACAGCCAGCACGGACGGGAGGCTGGAGGGGGTCTGGCTGATCGGGACGCACGGCCGGGGCAGGACGGCTCTCCGGCTGGTGCCTTCCTGGCACAGAGGTCCGTGCTTCCCAGCCCTCCCCAGGAAGCGCTGCGGCACACCGGCTTTAAATAGCTTTATTAGTGGAAGCCCTGCACCCGCAGTCCTCAGCGCCAGGCAGCCCCATGCTGTCCCTCGGGGAAGCCGGGACTCTCCAGGGTGCAGAGCTGGGCTCCCCCCCTCCATCCCTGCCACCGGCTCAGCCTGTGTCTGTCCTGGGGGGGAGCTGCAGAGTGAGCCTGGGGGTGGCCCCCCGAGTTGTCCTTGCCCGACACCAGGCTGTCAGACGCAGAGGCTGAGCTCCTGACGGACAGAGCACTTGCGGCACTGCACCACGCAGCACCAGTGGAACCGGCAAAGGCAGTTCTCCTCCAGCACCACCGTCTCGTCCCGGTGCCCTCGCCCGCAGCACAGCAGGTCACACCCGCTCGTGTCCATGGCCGTGCTGTTGCAGACACGGCCCCGGGTGCCCAGCGAGCCCGTCTTACGGTTAGCCGAGCAGAAATCGGGCGAGTCGGCCGAATAGATGAGGTCCTGCTTGTCGGGGGGTTTGATGTTGTCGCCCACGGGGATGAGGGTTTTCCCGTCGTTGCCCCCCATCACCTTGAAAGCCCCGTTGAAGCGCTCGAGCAGGCGGTCCCCCACCTCGCGGAAATGGGGCATCTTCCGCCAGCAGGTCCGCAGGGTGCAGGAGCCCGACAGCCCGTGGCATTTGCACTCTGTCCTCATGTAGCTGCGCACCGCCTGGGGAAGAGACGGCGATGCTCAGCCCCCGGTCCCCTGCCTCCCTGCCCAGCACCCCCAGCCAAAACCCTGCCTCTTGGTGCTGCCCTGGCCCAGGGGAGGGTGCTGGGAGGAGGGGGTGCAGACAGGGGAGGTTCAAAGCACCTGCAAAGGTCTCCAGAAAGACATTAGTCCGTATTTCACCCAAAGTTGGAGCGGGTACATGACTTGGAGGAGGCAAAGGTGGAGGGTTGAGCTGGGTAGGGGCACAGGGGGTGGAGGAGGGCAAGGAGTGTGGGGGCCTTACCAAGCGCCCGGCTTCGTTGTTGTGCAGGTCGATAAGAGCTCGGATGTCATTTTTGCCTTTCTTGCTCTTGGCATCCATGAACTGCTGGGATTTCTCGTAGCCGAACTGCACGTCGTCCCCGCAGCCCCCCCACTCCCAGGCCGTGCCCTCAGTGCCTGGACCCGCTGTGGGCGAGGGGGGAGCCCGGCTCCGCGTCAGCTCGCAGCCGCACTGCAGCAGCTCGCCCATGCTGCAGGCCTGCGGGATGGGCTGGGCCACCCCCGCC